GGTGGTGATGGTGGTGGTGGTGGTCACGACAGTATTGATGGTACATGTGATGGTGCTGATGATCCTGATCGTAACAGATGTGCGGGTGGTGCGGAGACTCGCAGTAGTGGTGATGATGACACAAGGTAATGGTGATAGTGATGATATTGATGAAGTCGTTCAGGCTGACTAAGACAAAGATGGAAACGGATCTTCTGTGCATTCGTATTTCATGTGTTGCATGCCCTGCCTTCACAGGTCCTAGAGTTTCGAGATTGACAATCGACAGTTCCTATGTCCTATGAACTGAGATGTCAGCTCGTCGTACGGTGCAATGGTGTCTGGCTCGCGACCCTAACCACAAGCCCGACACTCCGAATCGTGAAACCAAAAACCCCGAACCCCGAACCAGAATTAAACATTGAACCCCACACCCGAAACTTTAGCCCGAGAAGCACGTGTAAACTCAACCTATATACAAACTCAAAAACTCTCTCATCACCAAGTCAGAGACTCTCAACACGAACCGGGCAAGTTAAGCAGGCAAATGCGTGGAACTATATAACATCGCGTTGAATTATGTAAAGCCCCTGCAGTATAAATGCAACGTCAAACACATGGTGCGGTTTGGGTCGCTTCGGCGTCTACTGGGTCTTGCTCTAGCACTGGAATACTACATTCCCACGGTATCGCCACTGCTGATGCAGTCTTGCGCACCGACCATAGATTTGCTACACGCACGTCGCATCAACAGGAGGCACTCAACTCCGAAGCCCAAGCTCTTGCAATAGGTACTCAATGCAGACCTGACCTCAACCTTCTTGAAGATTTGTTCAAGCCCTCAGCCCTGAACCCTCAACCAGGATTGATGTTCGGGCTCTTGTCGGCTCAACCTCTGCCTAGAGGCATAGACCGCCCGGTCTAGCGGCAAGAAGAAAGCGCTGGCGGCCTAACAGCCCAGAACCCTGAAGCCCAAACGCAAAACCTACCTCCTGAAAACCTGAAGCCCTGAATCAGACTCCTTCGCTGGGGGGTTTCATGAGCTGGGCCTCTAGAACCTTGTAATTAGGAGGTTTAGTTTGGCCGCGTGTGGTGTTTTGGCCGTGGAGTGTATATAGGACCAAACCTGAAGCCGTGACTAGAAAACCCAGCACGCTGACTTGGTCGGAAACTCCAAACCCTCAAAAGCTAAACTCTAAACACCAAGTCCTTTGCCCCCTCGGAGCCCCCAAATCCACTAAAGGTTAACAACCCATCATGCAGATAATAAGGCTGATTCGGACAAAATAAACAACACAACCACTAGGTTCGTAGAGTTCCTCGGCACTTCGGGTTTACGGCCATAGGGCTTTAAGGTTCCGGGTTTCGAGTGGGTCAGCAGCCTGCAGCCCAAAGCCAAAAGTAATGGAATGTTGAGGGTGACCGGTTCAGGTATAGATTGAAAGGGCTTCGGACGTTGCATCGCTGCCTCCAGGTTCAGAGGGAGCCCTTCAGAAACCCAGAACCTGAAGACACCTGAAGCAGGGCCTTGCGAGGATATATCCTGCTGGAGCGGAAACCTATCCTGCAAGTACGATTCCTCGTAAGCTTCACACCTGTAGAAATACGTTCGCCCAAGTCCGCAACCTTGTACAGACTCTCTAGTAAGCGATCCGTCGCCCAGAACCCGGCACCCTGCGCAACCTTGTAAAGATGTAGTAGCAGTCATCCTCAATTCTAAGCCCCATACAACCCGCTGCGCCGCATACCCATACAAGTCATAATACCTCAGCAAAAGCCATCAAAGAACAACCCCAAATCGATTCAGCTCACCACCCGGCCTCATGAGCACCCCCTGCGTTCAAAGCAATGCAATTCCTGCAGTGTTCAAGGGGCATGAGGTTTTGACCTTATCGAATAAATTGTCCAAATTTGGACGTTAGGGTTTAAGACAGCCTCATACCTGCAACCCTAAACTTAATCCTAAACTTTTAAGTAGCTTCGGTTTGACATGGACTGGGTATCCCTGATTGATCATGGAGGCGCAATTAGGATATTGATTGATTAGAGTTTGCATCGGGTGATGCTTTTGATCTTCGGTGTTGATGGCTACTTGTGCGAAGGGTTGGTTGTTAAGGGCTCAGGGGTGTTGAAGCCTCGTCAATTGAACAATGTCTCACGTGTAAACCATGCAAACCCTAGCCTCACACCCATCGTTTGATACTCTCTTCAAACCCCCACCGACAGCGTCCCCGAAACCGGAAGCTCCCCACCCACAAACCTCGGGAATACCAGCAGAGGCCATGCCTGTCAACCTTTGAAGACTCACCTTGGAACAGGTAAGAACCAAGCTTCGTCTTCCCCTGTAAAGTTAAAGCCCTATAGACGCGCAGCGAAAACGTCGAAAAACACTGAAAAGAACAAGCCCTCCCATCCCGTTCCCCCATGCCCCTTAACCCCGAACCCTAACCCTTGTAAGAAGCGCACCCTGAGCGCGCGATGACTGGGGAGCCGCTTGAGCCGCCAGACGTGTTCGATCCGGCTCCTTCGACGCATGTCGCAACAAGAAATTGGAAACTATGGCTTGGTGTGGGGTTTGGTCAGGGTAAGGCTTGATGGGCCTAGGGACAGAAGATGCATTGGGTGTCGTAGCCACCCCACCTCGCCTGGACGGCACGACATGGTGAAAAGCAATGCAACAAGAAAGTCCTCCATTCCGTACCGTGCATAGTAAGCATAGCAACAACATCCGACATCACAGAGACTTCAAACTGAGCCCCCTCAAAGCACAAAAACGTACACATTTTCAAAACCCCTACAGGTACAAGGCGGCTGGCTGCAATCATGTACATTGCCTGTATTCAGCCTATATTTCCGTTCCCTGATGTAACATCACCTTAACCGGTACCCCCAGCACCAAGTAATGAACAAATCCTGCCCAATCACATAAGCCTCAGGATCCAAAACCAGAATCGGTTTTGGAAAAACCTGAGCCAAGAAATACCAAAATGAAAAGGCATCCATGACTAAACCTGGTAAGCCACTAAACCCTACACCTACGAACATTTAAGCTTGAATCGCCCTAACCTCAGAGTAGCCCGAAATCCTCAAAACCCTAAGATCTTAGCGTTGTCAGTCTGGGGTCAGTGGCCCAAAGACGTCTTTTTTGCCCCAAAGAAGCAAACCCCCTTAACTCCCAAAATGCAAAAAACCTTCAAGCAAGTCACACCATTCTGGGTTGAGGGTATAAGGGCAAAGTCCCTAAAGCCTCAACCCTGCACTCCACACACCCGCGATAATGGCCTGCGTAGAAAGTATTCTCGTCCTCGTAGTTGTCATGATACTCGGGACAATTGCCTGGTCTACAACTGGGGATCAGGCGGCAACAACCACACCTCGAAGTAAGGCCGACTTAGGTGAACACCTCTCGAGGAACCATGGCTTGTCCAAGTTTTCAGGTTTAATTTGTCGCGCGTCGTGCGAAGCACCCGACAACAACAAGAGCAGACCCAACGAGGCAGCCAGGAAGTATTGGCGAGGCCTCGTCCTCATCTATTTGCGGAAGGAAACTTTGGCTAAACAGTCCAACCTGAAGACAAGCTGCAAAAACTCCTGTGGTGCTGATACATTACCGGTCTAGTGCTGCTCAACCTCCAAAGGTCGTTCCATACTGTGCTCTTGTCGTTTGTACCACAACCCTTGAAGGTACGTTAAACAATGAGGCTAGGTGCTACTGTACACAGCGAAGAAGGCCCAGGAATTGAGAACGAGTGGCAGCACTGGTGTCAATAGTATCTAGCAATACTAGAAGCGCTCGCCCATCAGACATGGTAGAAGTTGTAGCTCCAGCAGCAGTGGCGGTGGCGAGGTGGTAGGAGTAGCAGAAGCCTTCGTAGAACTCGTAGTTGCAACATAGTAGTAGCAGCAGTAGCAGTAGC